ATTAATTATTTGCTGGGCAGACTGATTTTACGCGAGAGTAGAAGGAAAAGCCGCAGGAAGAAAACGCACGGGACAGAGAAAAAAGGAGAGAAGGCTACACACGCGGAAGGAAGCCGCACCTGCACGAGGGAGATATTTTTATCTTCTCTTTTTTATTTTTTATTTAATTTCATTAGTATGTTAGGCTAAGATTTTTATCCAGTTTTAGGGGATGTTTGAACCCTAAGTTTGATTTGTCTATGAATTGAATGATCTATTTCTTATCTTTGATTAATCGAGACACCGTATTTATTTTGTCGATGAGTTGATTCATGTTATCTGTGTATCGTGTTCATGAATTATGGTGTTTGATTTAGTTTGGCCAGCTAGGTTGAATATCTATGATTTAATTGCTAGATTCAAGGTTTTAATCCGTAATTGTTATTGTCTTGTTTCGTTAGTAGTAAACTAGAGGTCGTGCATCTCTAGGGTAGCATGAGCATAAGTTAAATGGTCCGAACTTTTGCGTCCGTTGCTTAGACTGATCTATTTTCTGGACTGATCTATTTTCCTAGAACTTAATACTGCTAGTGGATTAAATCTAGAGAGTTTATTCTAGGTTGTCCACTAGTTAGGTTTAGTCGAAGAGCTTATTTCGATTAAATATTCAGTAAGGGGAAATTCGGTTAACAGAGCTTGTTGTTAGCTAGGGTCGGTAATTCATTAGCAATTTAAAGAAGGTGTCGAAATTAATTAACGGTAGATTGAGATTGGGTGATAATTGGACCGAAAACTGGACTTCTCTTATTTTATTTGATTTTTATTTTATCTTTTTATTTTATTTTTATAAAATCAATCCAATTTTTATTGTTTTCTTAGTTTTAGTTTAATTAATACGAAATTGTCACAATTTAATTCCTACTTCTCGTGGGATCGACCCTTACTCGCCACTACTACTAGTTAGTAGAGGTTAGTTGAGGAAACTTTATAAATTTAAATTTTCCGCGTCGCGACGCGCGGTCAATGTGCCATGCCTTCAAAAGCTTTTATACCTCGCATTCGATCACCAGGCTGGGCTCCGCACCAAAGTGCCTCTTCTTCTATTTCATTGGCTTCACAATTGCGTCAATGTTCAATCTATGCTGGGCTACTTCTAGACTTATCCTACAGGTCATTTGTTGAAAATATCAGCGAACTTCCTCAACAAGGCAACGAGGGCGACATGAATGTCCTCGGGGAGATGACTTCCAACCTTAGTCAGCTTTACGACCTCGATCTCCATGAGCTCGTCTTGGGACGAAATTTTGAGTTCTTCACACCTATTTTCTTTGTTAAAGCTCTCGGGTTGTTCGAATTCCCAACCTATCTTCCATCCTTGTGCCTCTACACTGAAAAAGCTTCTTGTGAGAATATGAATAGTCCTCTATAGCTGGTAAAAGACTAAGCTCTTTCTAAAGACGACACTAATTTGATAGACAATTTTTTTCTCCGAACCGGGTAATTAGACCGGTTATCTCCATGAAGTTTCCTCCATCTCGAGCTTCCGATGACCTGCAATACGCCGATGAGGGATCCCAATGGAAAAAACCTCCGATGCTCAAGTTAGAAATTTCTCGTGAGAAAAAATTGGAAATTATGTGCTTATGAATGTGAATATATCATATGTAAGATAGAACCTACCACCCTTTATATACTAGTTTGTCCAATATGAGTCCAGGTTCAGAAAGAGTTCTGCTCATATATGCTTTTCCTAACTTATCACGTCTCTAAGATCTGAGACTCCTTAGCAAAATACACTTACCATCCTTAAAGAATTTTTTGTCCCCTTTTATCATACGAAACTTAGTTCCTTAGGTCGTTTAGACAACCTCGTAACCCACCTGCCACAGACTCTAACCAAGTCGTAACCATAACCTTGACCATTACCATCACGACCTCCAGATCATGAGGTCACGCCATCTTACCAAGCTCCTGGAGAAATGCAACCTCAAAACCTTCCAATCAACTCGACTCGTACCCCGAGCTGACCACTCAGGCTGGTCTACTGAGCTATTGTGGGTGCTACATCACCCTTGATGGCCACCCTTTTTCTAGCGCCGTTTTGTTGATGTTAGACAACTATTGGCCACTCATGTGTGTTGATTTCTTTATAATAGTTGTCGATCTATTTTCTCTTAGTTATACTTTCCAATTCGTTAAGTGACTAATATCCATTATGAGCAATCCATACCTTGGCATAGTTGGCTGGCCAATATAAATGAGTAATTTATTTCATATAATGCTCAATATACATGAGTAATTTTTATGTATAACACCCCCTATTCAAAATTAGTAAATGATTTATTGTTTTGTTCGACTTTTCACTATTTACAAAACCCTTCAATCTATGTCAAGTCTATTATCGTTGATCAACGAAAATTTTAATTCAAATAATTGAATTTCATCTGTCAACCATGAACAAAAATCACATTAATTAATATTATTACACCAACCATAAAATCAATATTTCACTTTTGTTGCAATTTCATTTTGACTTCACCTCTAATCCAGTTCTAAATTGTCTCAAAGAACGCGTGGACCCAATATTTTTTTTTTTTTTGGCAAAGAAAAAAGTAACAAAGGTGATGAACATTTTTTTGGACAAGATACGGATAAAAAATTTCAAACATCACAAGATTGAATTTTTTTTAAATAATATCATGCAAGAAAAGAACCTCATGACCGCAAAATATAAAAAATAAAAAATTAACCTCGTGAACACTGTTTTGTGACCCGGACCGGCCTGGCGGGTCGACCCGAGACCCGATCCACCCGGAACCGGAACCGGTCCGGGTAGAGTATTTGGACCGGGCAACCAAGGACCCGGTCAAATCCGGTCAAATCTCGGCCGAGACCCGGCCGACCCGGGGCATTGACCCGGCCGGGTCAACCCGGTTGACCCGGTCCATATATATTTTCTATATTTTTTTTTTGTTTTTTAAAATTAAAACTATGTATATATATTTATATGATAAATATTTATCATGAGATACATATCATTAACACTTTAATATACAAATTTTATACAAAAAATATTTAATTTTGTTATTTTTATGTATATTTATATAACAAAAATACTCTATATATAATTTTAAAAATTTTAAAATTAATTATCCGGTTCAACGATTGACCCGGTGACCCGACGGTTGAACTGGTGACCCAGTGACCCGAGGACCTGTCCGGGTCGATCACCGGGCCGGGTTTAAAAACTATGCTTGTGAAAACAACAGTTGATAATTACTTTCAATCTCCGGACAATTAAACTCCTAAAAAGCATGCTTCGGGCCTCGCTCTTGCTCGTATTACTCCTCCTACTCTTCATGGCCCAAGCCCAAGCCCAAGCCCAGCCCATTTGCCTCAACAACGGCGGCAACTACACTTTCAACAGCACATATTCCGACAACCTCAACACCGTCCTCTCCTCCATATCCGACACCACCACAACCGGCTTCCACAACGCCTCCGCGGGCCGGGCCCACGCCATCGCCCTCTGCCGGGCCGACATTCACCCCGTTTCCTGCCGGACATGCATCCAAAACATCACTTCCGATCTGCTGACGTCATGCCCCCGCCAGCGGCAGGCAATCGGCTGGTCCGAGCACTGCATGCTTCAATACTCGGACGAGCCCGTTTACGGTATCCTCCGCACCTGGCCCAGGGTCTACCTCTCGAGCACTCAGAACGCCACGAGCCCCGACAAGTTCGTTTCGGATCTTCGGGCCCTTCTTGACGGCCTTCGGGCCGTGGCGGCCTCGGGCGGGGCCCGGTGGAAAGCGGCGGCCGGGAACGCGAGCGGGCCCGATTTCCGGTCAATCTTTGCGCTGGTGCAGTGCACCCCGGACCTGTCCGCGGAGGATTGCGGCCGCTGCTTGGTTGAGGCTGCAGGGGCCTTATCAGATTGCTGTTGGGGTAGTGTCGGGGCTCGGGTGAACTTGCGCCCAGCTGCAATATCCGTTACGCGATTTCGCCTTTCTATAATGAGACTCGGCTGGAAGAGCTGGCGTGCGGGCCCCACACAGACGAGCCGGGTCAACCGACCCCTGATCCACCGTTGCCGCCAGAGCCAGGTTCAAATGCTTTTTCAATTCAATGATTTAGCTGATAAAAGAAGCTTATAGAATTTAAAGCTTATGGCTGATAGCTTATGATTTATGGCTGAGAAGCTAGCTTAAAAGTGTTTCGTAAAATTAGTTGATAAGTTAGCTGAAATAAAATTTTCAAATTGGCTTATTTGAAAAGCTATTCAATGAAACTTATGAGATAAACTCGAGCTTTTTAAAATTAAATTAAGCTTGTTCTATCAAACCAATCTTATTTGAATATAAGAAGCTTATAAGCTATTTATATGCTTACCAGACACAGCCTTATCATATCAGAGTTTGCATTTATATAGAATCAATCTAACACAATACTCACATTATGCAGGAGTGCGTAAGGGCAACAATGTAACCCGAGTTGTAAGCATTACTGTAATTTCAATTGTTGCTTGCGCGGTGTTTGTTGTTTTCGTATGCCTCTTGTTAAGAAAGAAAACGAGACGCAAACCAGAGGAAAATCGTGAGAGTAAGTATTTTATTTCGTTTTCTCAAAATATGTACTGCTTTGGCATGCATGTAGAATTCTTTTAAAACAAAATAATATTTCTTCGTCAAGTATTCAGCTAAAATCTTTTCTTTTCAATGTTTGAAGCTGCTGCTAATAACGAGGTGAGCGTGGATGAATCTCTTATATATGCATTGGGCACAATCAGAGATGCTACAAAGGATTTTTCGGATGATTACAAGATGGGGCAAGGTGGATTTAATTCGGACCTGTTTACAAGGTAATAAATAATATTGTTGTCCTATATAATTTTGATTAAAACTTGAGTTATCAAAGTGAAAACTAAAGTAAACTTGGCATGATTAAAAAATAGGGAATACTTCCAAGTGGTCAAGAGATAGCAGTCAAAAGATTGTCCCAATATTCTAGACAAGGAGATTTGGAGTTCAAGAATGAGGTCCTGTTACTGGCAAAACTTCAACACAGGAATCTATTTAGACTTTTGGGTTTTTTCATAAACGATATTGCTTTGTTGTGTGTTCAGGAAAATGCAGCCGATAGGCCAACAATGGCTTCGGTTATCGTAATGCTTAATAGCTCCTCTTTAACTCTGGCGACACCTATCGAGCCTGCGTTTTTTATGCCTGCTGATTATGGTTCAGAGACTTCACTTCTTTAGGAGCATAATTACGAAGTGCGACTGTGTGAGTTAGAATTAACGTTCATGGATGAGTGAATTTAAATACCTGCTGAATATGATAATTTGGTCGATAAATGTTGGGATCAAATCAAGTTGACATCTACGCACTTTGGTTTCTGATGATTATTGAAATTGTTTGATTCATGGTTATGTTTTGGATCACCATTGAGGTTGCTTAGATAGCTTTTTTTTTTAATAAGTGAAGAATATTAGTTCATGTTTTTGTTAATTTTTTTGTGTAGCGTCTTACATTTTCACCATATCATGTGTAAATGTTGCGTTGATTTATTTGGCCAGCCGATTTGGTCTGTTGTTT